CGGTTCGATAACGTACATAATATACTTAGTTGTTACAGTGTACATGTAAACCGGTATTGCGAACAAGAAAGCACTACGTACGTTTACTATTAAATTATATGTGCAATAAGTACAGCAATTTCTATGCTCAATTTAGTTTATTTTAACCTTGCTAAGAATAAAATAGAGAAGTGTGAGTGTTAAAAAGATAAAATACAATGTTATAATGTATGATCTGTTTAAACATGCAAACGCAAGCCTTCAATTAAGTGATTCGATACGTTTGAGAAAATACTTATGTGATTTGATACGTTTGACAAAAAACTTCATTATGGGAGGTCGCCCGCGTGGCGCAGTGGTTAGAGCGTCTGCTCTAGAGTCGCGAAGTAAGGAGTCAATCCTTTGGTCGCGGGTTCGAATCCCACTGTGTGACGTGGAGAATGGTCCTTCGGATGAGACCGTCCAACGGAGGCCCCGTGTGCGTAGGTGCTGGCACGAAAAAGATCCCTCGCTGCTCAAAGGCCCTGGGTGCAGAGCATAGGACAAAATTTGTAGCCCTCCACCGGCAAGCTGTGACGTCTCTATATGGGTGAAGAATTCTCGAGAGGGACATTAAACAACATATAATCAATCATTATGGGGGTACCGTTGAACTGAGTTTGATATAGGATACTGGTATTTTACAACACTTTTGCCATTAGATGACTAGAAAAAGAAAAGTTTCTGACAGTTTGTTTAGTAATGTACAATTTCTGTTGTGTTGAAAGAAAATTAATCAATATATTACACACCAAATAGGAAAACCTGATTGATTACGCTTTAACCTCTGAAATTCCACCAAAAAATGTCCTGAAATTACACTGTTGCAATGAAAAGGGTAGGCAGGTCTGAGTTAAGATCGCGCTTTAATAGAAGTGTTGCAAAACTGAATGTGGTCTGTCATTTATGATGACCCCAAGGATTAAAATCTTGTATCCCCCTATAAGCTTTTCACTGCATGAATCATCGGATCATGCAAATTGAGGCAAGTCAAGTGTTGTACGCATAGCTCGGCCAGGTCTGTACAATCTTCTTTCTTATATTTCAGTGTAAATGCCTGCAGTGTTAAAAAGAGGGATGTTAAAAGTGTCAAGAAAAAGTGGATAGACATCCAGAGCAAAACAAAACAAGAGAGGCAGAGAGGAGAAGAGACCAGAAGAAAACGGGGGGAGGTCCACCACCAGCAAACCTGAAGCCTTGGGAAGATAAGGTTTAAAATGTAACTCTTTTGTAAAATTTACCAATGCTTATTGAGATATAACAAAACAATATAACATAACCCCATCCCTCAGGCCCCAGAGGGGGACAGGGACTGCGAAGCGGCTTATAAAGTGTTAACTGCCCTAAGTTATGTTATTACCGTCTTCCTTGGAAGACGGTATTGTATAGTTGAAGTTTTTTAGAGTCTTCGGACTATGCACTTCCCTCTCTTTTGTGATTGGTAGAAAATGCATGATGAGAAAATTTTCAATTATTTCATTGGTTGAAATGCTGTTCAAGGCAAGGGAGATAACTTTCTGATGATCTAATTTTCGTACAATTTAACAATTTTGCAAGATTTTCAATCTTAAAAAAAAATGACAAAACGAACAACAAAATCAGCAGTAATTAATTCCTAATAACATGATTTATTGTATAGCAAAAAATAAAAAGATCTCTTTAACTTCATTATAAATAAAATTTGATTTTTATTGCTTGCAGGCTTTACAATTTGTTATTATCTCTCTTCCCCTTCCTTGTTTGAAGAAGGAAATGGAATCAGCCGAGGTTTGCCGAAAGCTCTCGGCGAGTCAAAGTTTACGGAGATGACCGAGCGACAACCGTGGTAGGGCTAATGCCAGTAAAAAGCGAATGTAGAAATACAAAATCAAAAGAATTATACGGCCTGATAGGTGTAGATCAGTTTTACAGTTTAAGATTGTCGCTAAAGACGGGAAGCTTTTTAAAAAAGCTCTACTTGTATCAGATAACATAAATTGAAATAAGCTTCATTCCTTAAATGAAATTCAGAAAATAAACAGTTCCTTAATTTAGTTAATTTGCTACAGTGCAGGGAAATAATTTTGTTACAGCATCAATGCTGGTTTTGATGCTACCTTTGCTTGCTGATTTTGATGCTTCCTTTGCTTGCTGGTTTTGATGCTAGTTATCCTTATCCTGATGCTGGTTTGAAACTAGGTCAATGCTAGTAATGCTTCCGGAAGTAGGATTATCCTGCCGGAAGTGAATAATTCAAAAAACAGCATCGCTATTTTAAGTCATAAAAAATAATTTTTGGTGTAATTTTTATTTGTATTTTGTATTAGAAAAATTTACTATATCTGTTTTCACTTTTTACCGAAGAAATTAGCGATTTTTAAGGAATTTCGTTTTGACAATTTCAATCGCATTTTCATGTCACGTGACCAACGTACCCTGAAATTCAAAACAGTTATGGCTGTGCTGACCAAGAAGAGGAGTATGAAGACGTGTAACGTGATTATCGCGGATCTGTTCGAGAAAGGCTGACCCACCTTGTGACATTATACGTGTTTTACGGAAGGAACACGGGATACAGAAGAGTAGAATGACTATTTATCGTTTTCTGAAGCGCTATCGTGAGGAGGGTGTCGGTGCTTTCCACAGACGGAGGAAAGCGATACGTGATGGACGATTGACGATCCGATCAGCCCACAAGAAGTTCATCAGTTATCATGTGAAAGTTCAACCGGACATTTCTGCAAAGACTTTGTGCTTGAAATTACGGAAGCGGTTTGGACTGTGTGTTTCATTGAAAACTGTTGTTTCTTTGAGGAAGTCGCTGGGGTTCCGTGGGAAATATACCAGATACTGCAAAATCAGTAGTGGAAAGAATCAGAGGGTAAAAATTGCTTTATATTTTTTATAACAATGATTCATCAAAATACGCATTTCTTAACAATTGTCTGCTAATTTTAAGACTTAAACACACATATATGCCCACAATTTCTTTGCCTTAAGATTTGTTTGTTTGCGAATTTGTAGGAAGTTTTTCTGTTGTGTTTGTAACTATTACGTTTTGAATATACATTCACATTTTTAAATAATGTTTCATATTCATTTAAATGGTATAGTCTTTAGCAGACTTTTCAACAATTGGTACAGTATTATCAAAGTCAAACATTCTGTTGTACTGGTCAATATTTTGTGAGACCAGATACATGCACCTTATTTTGGCACTGTGAAGTGATATAAATAACAAAATGTGCCCTGAATTATTTTTAACAACCTTTCAGAAAGTCTTCAATAAAAGACATAAATGACATGTTTTACAACTTTGCTATAGCAAATTTTAATGGCTATCAACAACATGCTGTGTACACAGCCATTTTTTCTGTATTTCAACTTGTGTGCTACCTTTCTGTATCGATGCTTGACTTTTATTCAAACAATCAAAAATATATGTTTGGAATTGCTGCTTGTGTTTGCGCTACAACTCAAACAGCAATTAAATTTTGATGTTAGATGTGTTCATTTATTTACTGTCAATTACTGTAAACCAACTTTTATTCGCGTGCGAGAAATTTTCGCGAAGTCCGCGAGAGCTTCGTCATCGCGAATTTTTCTCACCGCGAACCGATCTTTAGGGACCAGGCAAAATTTATCACAATGATGGGACCGGTACAAACAGGCATGGGACAATGAGTTTTTCCATCACAGAAATCCATGGGACAAAAACATTTTTAGCATTAAGTATACCCATGGGACACAAACATTTTTTCAATGAGTTACACTACTTAAGGCTGTTCAAAGTTAATTCTATGTTAACGTCACATCCAAAGTTCAAAAACCTACAATGGAGTGAGGATAAAAAATAAATAAAACAAAATTTTTAAACAATTGTGAATTTATTCAAATTAACCTATTCAGTACATTAAATATACTATAACTTAGTAATAGGAGCATTGGATATGACAGGTAAGTCTAATTTTTAAAGCAGAGTTTTTCCTTTAGTATGTATATTGGTTGAGTCCTTTTGTATGCAAACAATATAGACTAAATTTGCAGGAGTGTGGCTTTTAGCTAGGCCTCGTTTGTCCTTTGGATTTATGTTGCCACACGGTAGTCTGTAGGGAAATGCTTCTTTTTGTGGGAATAGTTGTACAATATCTACAATTAAAATTCATGATGACAATATTTAATACATTCTTATATTGAAATATCTTGAAATTTAATTATGCTGTATTTTTACTTATAGTACTAGATTACAAGCATTTAGTTTTGAAAGTGTAGAAACTAATATTTAGACCATACATGTAGCTGTTAGATTATCTAACCTTGAATTCCAAACACATGACAATTGATTCTTCACTTCTTGGAATACCCAATTCACTTTCCTTACTCTCCTTCATTTGAAAGTCCCCATCTTCTGTAAGCTTCTCTCTGCTCAAATGGAAATGACTAGTATTATCCTTCCAAAAAATTGTAGCTATTTGTAGGTTCATGAATAGGCCCCTACTACATCCTTACTAAATTTATCTTACTGTTCCTGTACATTTTTACAAAAATATTTTAAGATGAATTTATTTTTAATATTTAAATGATGCATCTCAATGTATATTATAAAATCTTGGTTTTTGACACACTTTGTAAAGTTTGGATATTCTCCAAAATTCGATGAAAATTACAGGCAACATAATCACAAACTGAGAGTCTGTGATTCAAAACTGACCCAAAAAATCAACAAACAGGAGTTTGGCACTAACTTCTTTCATAAAATCGTATATTTTTCACGTACATTTATGATCCCATACTGTTTAATTCTTTAGTTTTTTTTTCAATAAGTCACCACCAACTGCATCTTCACAACGTCAGGGGTCCTGAGTCAACAGGTTGCCGATGGACCCCTGACTTATTTCATTCGAAATCTGCGGGTTGACTACAGCGACGTCTTTCGGGGAAATTACAATCTCTCGACCAATCAAATTAAGCCTAACACATTACCTTTCGGTAAGACAGCCAATATGGCCGATATAGAAGTTGTAAACAGAATTTGTCAGAAATTCAATTTGAAGTCACTTACAGATCAACAAATTTCGGCGATCGACGCCCTGAAGAAAGGAAACGACACATTTGTTGGGACAAAGACGGGGAGTGGGAAATCTCTAGTCTACGAAAGCTCGCCGATTGTTTTGGGAGAGAATGGTGTTACAACTGTGCTTGCTCCGCTGAACAGTATTATGTCTGAACAAATAGAGAGACTGAACAGGCTTGGATACAGAGCTGTGCAAGTATCCAATGACACTGATAAGCAAGCTGTTATGAACGGATATTTTCAGTTCGTGTTAGGAAGCCCCGAACTTCTCGTCGGTGATTACAAATGGAGAGAAGTTTTGAGAAATCCAATCTTCACATCAAAACACCAATTGATTGTGGTCGATGAGGCCACACCGTAATTCAATGGTAATTAAATAAGAATACATCAACCATTTGAATATAAAATAATTGCATCACCTTGAAATTGCCCCTTTTTTAACAATGCATGTTTTAAAACTTCCTCACATGTCAAATGATGTTTCTTTAATTTAATTAAGTTTTCCAGGAAATCGATTATTAATTTATTAAAATTGAAAGTTTGTGTATACTTTTAGGGGGCTAGAACATCAACAAGAAGGGCCATTTCGAGAGTGGTTTGCTCACATAGGAGAGATGCGATCACTTTGCATTGGGAGACCCACAATGGCGCTCACCGCGACAGCTAGCCCCACACACAGACGCCAAATTATGCAGAAACTGTGTCTTCGTCATCCATCCTGTGTAATTCTACATAGTCCAGATAGATCAAACATTAAATTGAATGTACTGAAAGTGAAAAATAATGTAGAATTAGAAAATGTATTTCAGTGGTTAACAGCTGCATTAGTTGAGAATGGGCAAGAATTACAGAGGCATCTAATATTTTGTAACTCAATTAAAGACTGTGCTATGATTTATATGCTGTTCTTAAAAATTTGTGGGCCTACAAATCATTTTAACATGTCTCACACTAAAACAACTGATGCCACTAAAGAAACCAGAAGTCTCTGTCGAGACTGTAGCTCTACTGGTTTGTACTGATCACCAGAAGTCTCTGTCGAGACTGTAGCTCTACTGGTTTGTACTTATCAAAAACCATTGCACTATTTTATGTATCTTTGTGTAGTCTCTTATGTGCCAACCTATTTTGAAATCAGACAAAAACTGTAGAAGGAGTAGCGTTTTTAAGGAATTCCACAGAAAATTCTATTTTGAGTAACCATAGCAATACCGTTCATCGAAATCGAAAACCGATGCACTATTCTATGTATCTTAGTGTACTTCTTCACTTGTGTGCCAAGTTATATTGAAATCAGACCAAAACTGTAGAAGGAGTAGTTTTTAAAGGAATTTCACAGAAAATTCTATT